TAGTGTTCATGGCAGTCAGTGTGAGCTTCCAGTTCCAGAAAGATTTTTTTTAAATCTTCCATTAAAATAAAAAAGAAAAAGGAAAGTAAAAAAAACATGGATGAGTTTGTATGAGTAAAATTACAACAAACATTTATTTTTGAAAAACAGGGAATTTTGCAATAGTTCATGCATTCTCATGTTGTTGTAAACTTATATGACTCGCGTCTCTAAATCACAAATGGGAAATTCTGAAGAATCATTACAGATCTCATTTCAAAACAAGAACATTTCATAAATATCTTGATGTCAATATCAAGCAATAAATGCCACCCACTAAATTCCAAGTGATTTTTAATCACTACTTTTTTTGCATGTACATCTCAAATATAAGTATTTCCGTCTGCTAGAGCACTGTTCATGCTTTATTTGTCGAGTATTGGGGGTGTTATGTGAACAAAAACCTCTTTTAGGTCTTTAGAATAGAATTTCTTTCTCTCTTTGTACGTTTATAAGTTTGTGGTGTATATATATACTTTGATGAGAGTTTGACATCTTGCTCTACAATATGATCTGCTAACACATGCTAAAATGTGCATTTTGAACAATAATTAAATCAGCAGCACGGTGGCGCAGTGGGTAGCACAATCACCTCACAGCAGGAAGGTCACTGGTCCAAGCCTCGGCAGGGTCAGCTGGTGTTTCTGTGTGGAGTTTGCATGTTCTCCCCGTGTTGGTGTGGGTTTCCTCCGGGTGCTCTGGTTTCCCCTACAAGTCCAAAGACATGCGCTATAGGTGAATCAAACTAAATCAGGGTTTCTGCAGGTTTCTCAGAGTTATATGTAAGACTTTTCAGACATTTTTAAGACCTTAATGAATTAATTTTTAGACCCATAAAGGGCTAAATGCAAAAGATTTTTTTAATAGCCCAGATGGAAAAGATTTTATTTGCCCTATCAATTTACACTTAATTATAATACTTTTAATAATACAATAATAATTTAATAATACAATTTTTGCATTATTTTAGATTTTATTTCTTAGCAAAATATTTTGCATATTGTGTGAAATCAAGCAAGCTCTACATGTTCCCATACACTTTTATTCCAACATAAACTTAAAGAAAAATAAACAAACAAAAGTTTTAAAAACTATAATTAACTAAATGTATGCACAACAATCAGTCCAGGTCAGTATCCTCAGCAGTAAATACATGGAGCACTTTTAAACAAATGTAATAGTAAGGAAAATTATTTATCTTAAAAGTAAAATATTGCATTAATTTAAATAAAAGGTTTAATGTTTTATTGAGAGGATTGTGGGTGATTGTATGGGTTTTGGTCAGATTTGGTAGCAATACATGAACAAAGAAAAATTAAGACCTGTTTAAAACAGATTTAAGATCTCCAACACAATATTTCAGAACATTTAAGACTTTTTAAGGCCTAAAATTTAGATTTTGAGATTTAAGACATTTTAAGACCCTGCAGAAACCCTGTAAACTGGCCGAAATGTACGAGTATGTGTGTGATTGAGTGTGTATGGGTGTTTCCCAGTACTGGGTTGCAGCTAAAAAGGCATCCGCTTAGTAAAACGCATGCTAGAATATTTGGTGGTTCACTCAGCTGTGGCGATCCCTGATGAATAAAGGGACTCAGCTGAAGGAATATGAATGAATGAATCTTGCAAAACATCTGACATAATATTACAGTATATACTGCCATACGGCATAATAAATCAGTTATTAGAAACAAGCTATTAAAACCAGTATGTGTTGAAAAACATCTTCTCATAAATAAACAGCACTTGGGAATTATTTGAAACAAAAAATAATAATTAAAATGAATATACGTGAGAGTCGTGAGAAAGCGGAAACGTCTTGAGTTGTGTGCAACCTTTGGACATTTATTCCAGACTGGCGCATTTTCTCAGTGGCATAATCATAATCTGATCTGTCTTTATATAACGGTGTATTGTGCATTGATAGGTTTAAAGTCTGACGTAACAAACCCTCAAGGAGAAGAAAACCGCCTGTAGGAGCAAAACGCTGCATTTCTGCAGGATCTCCTGAAGCTGAACACACACACCACAGGTAAGAGTTCAGATTTAAAGACGCAGTACACCTAATAATCAAAATATCTGTCATCATTCAGTCTTGCTTTCAAGAGTTTCTTTCTTCTGTTGAACACTAATGAGGATATACCGAGGAATGCTGCATATATATATATATGCACACACACACTAAAAATATCTGCTAATTACAATTTCCAGTATTTTGCAAGTGTTTTACATTCATTTGTGGCTGTGAATTGCATTATGGAAAGTTGATCTCTGCTCTGTCGACTTTTGATGCTGAAAAAAAGAGACTTTTATAATGTAAGAAATCATGTTAGCAGAGTAAAGTCTGAGTAATAATGTGTTGTGTTTACCTTTGATTAATCAGGCTGATGGCGTTCACTGGGAAATATCAGCTGGAGTCTCACGAGAACTTTGAGGCGTTCATGAAGGCAGTCGGTGAGAGAAAAACACATCACTAATGCTTTTCTTGTCTTGTTTCTAGTCCAGCTAGCTAAACAATCTTAAATCAAGAAGCATTTTCTAGACAAGCACAAAATATTGTCTTGTTTTAAGAAATAATGAGTCAAAATAAACTTAGTTTTTTATTAAAACGAGCAAAATAATCTGACAAGGAGGTGAGAAAAACTAGATGATTTCACTTACACCATTGGCAGATTATTTTGCTTGTTTTAATGATAAACTCTCTTTATTTTGACTCATAATTTCTGAAAACAACACATTATTTCTTACTTCTTTCTCTAAAAATGCTTCTTGATGTGAGAATATTAGATATTTGGATTAGAAAGCAGGAAGTTCTCATCGGTATATCAGCATGCAGGCGTATTTCACAGCTTGGGTTTTCTCCAGGTGTGCCGGATGATGAGGTCGAGAAAGGCAAAGACATTAAGAGCATCTCTGAGATCCATCAGGACGGAAAAGACTTCAAGGTGACGGTGACGGCCGGAACTAAAGTCATTCTGTACTCCTTCACTGTGGGCGAGGAGTGTGAGCTGGAGACGTTCACTGGAGACAGAGCTAAAGTCAGTGTAGTCTGATCATCAACTATATTACTGTAGATCAACAACAACATAAACTCACATAACATTTACTGTAAAAAACAAACCCTAGTAGCTGTGGTTGCCAGTTTTTCACCATGAAAAATACAGTACAAACCATGCAAATCTTTTCAAATTTACACTATACATTTTTTACAGTGAGGTTTTGTGGAATTGATCAGTGTGTGTGTGTGTGTGTGTGTGTGTGTTTTAGACTGTGGTTCAAATGGATGGTAATAAGCTGACAGCGTTTGTCAAGGGGATTGAGTCTGTGACGGAGCTGGATGGAGACACTATCAGTAACGTAAGTCAACATCATCTCTTCATGGCAGACCAAATTAACCTAAAAAGCGCCCTCTTCATAACTGCTTTTTTATTAGTAAGAATGTTATTAGAGCTAATAGAGCTACTAAGAATGGTATTAGAGCGCTATATAATTATTATCTTTTACCAGAAAGAATGCAGAGAGATCTGTTATTGTGTTATTACAAGAATGGTATTGGAGAGCTCAATAATTGAATTTCTACTAGTTAAAAATGGTATTAGAGAGCTCTATAATTGAATTTTTACAGGATTTACAGCATTAGAGAGCTCTATTTTACAAGTAAGAATGGTATTGGAGAGCTTTATCATTGAATGTTTACCAGTAATAATGGTATTAGAGCTTTATAATTGATTTTTACTAGTTAAAATGGTATTAGAGAGCTCAATAATTGAATTTTACTGGTAAGAATGGTATGAGATAGCTCTATAATTGAAGTTCTACTAGTTAGAATGGTATTAGAGAGCTCAATAATTGAATTTTTACTAGTTAGAATGGTACTAGAGAGCTCTATAATTTAACTTTTACTAGTTAGAATGGTATCATTGAATTTCTACTAGTTGGACTGGTATTAGAGAGCTCAATAATTGAATTTCTACTACTTGGACTGGTATCATTGAATTTCTACTAGTGGGAATGTTATTAGAGAGCTCAATAATTGAATTTCTACTATGGTATTAGAGCTCAATTTTAGAATTTTACATTTAAGAATGTATTAAAGAGCTCTATAATTGATTTTTTACTAGTAAGAATGGTATTAGAGAGCTCTATCATTGAATTTCTACTAGTGAGAATGGTTTAAGAGAGCTCAACAGTTGAATTTCTATCATAGTATTAGAGGTCAATAATACAATTTTACTTTTAGGAATGGTATTAGAGAGCTCAATAATTAAATATTTACTATTAGGACTGGTATTATAGAGCTCTCCCATTTAATAAAAATATATATCTTTAATGTAGGTTTCTTCTAGTAAAATATAATTGTAGAGCTCTCCAACTGGAATTGTTAATAGTGAGAATTTAATTAAAGAGCTCCCTAAATGCTTTACCTAGTATAAATCCATTAGATCTGTAATTCTAATCAATGGAGGTCAACGGCGACATTACCAGTGAAAATGTAGTTATAGCGCTTTCTAATTGTGTTAATTACTACTAGTATGGATTGCATAATAGGGCTCTCTAAACATAATTGTTAGTATGAAGAACTGAATTCCAGAGCTCTCTAATAGTAACTATTAATAGTAAAAGATAAATGAACAGAGCTTTTTGTCAATGTTAAAATGAAAGATGAAAGGAGACTGAAAGCTGTGGACAGGTTTAAACATGTCAAACTTGACCATGTCTGAATTTGGGGTGTGTGATTAGTAACTCTGTGTACAGTTTAACCTAATTAACGTATCTGGTTTCAGACTCTCAGCTTTAATGGTATCGTCTACAAGAGGATCAGCAGACGCATCTCATGATCATCATCATCATCTTCATCTGTGTGTTTGTAAAGGTGATTCTCCTACAATCAATCACAACACAGCAGCATCTGCAGAAATGCATTTATTGCATGAATGATCGCATGTTTCTGAGTTTGTTCATGTGTGTGTGTGTGTGTGTGTGTGTGTGTGTGAGTGTGTTCATGCTTTGATCTGCACTTGTTCTCCAGCGACGCTCATGGGTTTGCTGGTGAGGGCGGCTTCACGCATGCTGTGATAAACATGTTCGTTCTGCTTGAACATGCGCAGCTCCATCTCCTGTCTGCCTCCGCATCGCCTGAAAACACACACACACACACCAGCATCACACACACTCTTCTATATTCTTCTGCTATTGATGGGATCATGAACATGATTGATAGACTGTTTAGTTGCTTCATGGTGAGACAGCAAAGGTTAAATCAGTTTTTCATGCACTCTATACTGTATTTCAGACTAGCGGAGAATGCTGAATAGACCTGGATGTGTTTGTTGTTAAATGTTTGCATCTGTAGAGTTCAATGACAATAAATATCTTCAGTTTGAAACATTGTGAGTCAGAAATCTCCACTTCAGCAGCACAAACACACAACTTTATCCATTACATTATGATGCTGTGTATTGTTTGTTGGCGTGTATAATGGTGTGATTGTGAGTATTGTTGTGTGATGTGTTTATTATGGTGTGCAATATTGTGTGATGGTGTGGATTATGATTTGATGTGTGTGTATAATGTTGTGTATTGTGCTGTGATGGTGTGTATTATAGTGTGATGTTGAGTATAATAGTGTGTATTAATGTGTGATGGTGTGTATTAGTGTGATGTTGAGTACAATAGCGTGTGTTGATGTGTGATGGTGTGTATTATAGTGTGATGTTGAGTATAATAGTGTGTATTAATGTGTGATGGTGTGTATTACTGTGATGTTGAGTACAATAGCGTGTGTTGATGTGTGATGGTGTGTAATGTTATATGATGGTGTGTATTATAGTGTGATGTTGAGTATAATAGTGTGTATTAATGTGTGATGGTGTGTATTGGTTTATGATGGTGTGTATTATAGAGTAATGGTGTGTGTTATAGTGTAAAGTTAAGTATAATAGTGAGTATTAATATGTGATGGTGTATGTTTTAGTGTGATGGTATGTCTAATAGTGTGTATTGATGTGTGCAATAGTGTGTGTTGTTATACAATGGTGTGCAGCAACAGGTGTTGTACCTCCAGATCTCTGCTGATGGGGTGATGGTGTGTATCGATGTGTGATGGTGTGTGTTATAGTGTGTATTGGTGTTTGATGGTGTGCCGCAGCAGGTGTTGTACTTCCAAGTCTCTGCTGATGGTTTGTATTATAGCATGATGGCGTGTGCATTATAGTGTGATGATGTGTATTATAGTGTGATGGTGTGTATTATAGTGTGATGGTGTGTATTATAGTGTGATGGTGTGTGTATTATAGCATGATGGTGTGTATTATAGTGTGATGGTGTGTGTATTATAGCATGATAGTGTGTATTATAGTGTGATGGTGTGTATTAGAGTATGATAGTGTGTGTATTATAGCATGATGGTGTGTATTATAGCATGATGGTGTGTATTATAGTGTGATGGTGTGTATTATAGCATGATGGCGTGTGCATTATAGTGTGATGGTGTGTATTATAGTGTGATGGTGTGTATTATAGTGTGATGGTGTGTATTATAGCATGATGGTGTGTATTATAGTGTGATGGTGTGTGTATTATAGCATGATAGTGTGTATTATAGTGTGATGGTGTGTATTATAGTGTGATGGTGTGTATTATAGAATGATGGTGTGTATTATAGTATGATGGTGTGTATTAGCATGATGGTGTGTATTATAGTGTGATGGTGTGTGTATATTATAGCGTGATGGTGTGTATTATAGCTTGATGGTGTGTGTATTATAGCAGGGGTTGTACCTCCAGGTCTTTGCTGATAGGGTGATGTGGGCCGTGTGTGATCATCAGGATGCCGTACGCTCTGCAGATCAGCCCATGAGCTGCCTCTATCAGTCCAGCATGCCAGTGTGTGACGCCCGCTCTCATGATGGCCATGCCCAGCTGAGCGTTATTGGGGTGATAAAGCTTCCTGGAAGAGCAGGAGGAGGACAGCAGGTTATATAAGAGCTCTACAGTCAGGCTGCGTCTGAAACACTCCAGTATGCACTACATTTGAGTTTACAGCACGACCATTAGAATAGTGTGCTCTATATAGTGTGAATGTATTTCAGATGTTCTATCATGATCACATGACCTTCCTGCATCAGTGTCGCTTCACTCCCGTTCATGAATTCTCTCAAAGTGCATTATGGGATAGCATAGTCTCAATTAGATGCATACTTCAGAATCTACTACTACTACTGCTACAATATATTGCAAAATGATCATTATTGTGATCCTAATAATATATGCAATACATGTATCACGTATGTATATTAATTTTCATTTATTTTCTGCATTGGTTGTTTATTTAAATTTGACCAATCAGATAGAACTGTACTATCTTTAGCCCCGCCTCCCATGTAGTTGCTTTCTATTGGCTGTAGTGGCCCAAAGCTGAACCCAGAGCTGAAAATGATCATTAATGGCGGGAAAATGACAACAGCCAATCAGAGTCAGGATATCTGCGGAGGTTTTCACTCATTTACAGTGAATTACAGAGTACATTTTTGACCCTCAACACAGTTTTTTAGTCTGAATTAGAATTAATTATATCTAAAAAATATTTTTTACCTGTTTATTTTAATATGATCAAATAAATAAATGAAAATAAATAAGTTAAGTTAATAAATATGTTAATAAAGCCAATGAAATGATCAGTTTTATATCAATGAAATATCGCAACACTCACATGTATCCATCCACCATGCGCTGAGCGTATCCGGCCGCCTCCTGGAACTGCTGCAGGAAGGACAGAACCTCGCTGGCGGTGCTCAGGACACGCAGAACATGAACGTTAGTGTCGGCAAACACCGGATCCTGCTTCTCCAGACACTCACGGCAGATCCTGATCACCTGCATTAACCACATCAGAATAGCACAGAATTAGTCCTGTCAAATCGCGATTAACTGCTGGGTCCAAGCTGGGTCAGTTGGTGTTACTGTGTGGAGTTTGCATGTTCTCCCTGTGTTGGCGTGGACTTCCTCCGGGTGCTCCGGTTTCCCCCACAGTCCAAACACATGCACTATAAGGGAATTGATGAACTAGATTGGCCGTAGTGTATGAGTGTGTGTGAATGAGTGTGTATGGGTGTTTTCCAGTACTGGGTTGAAAATGTTTATTCATAATTAAGTGTACAATATATATGATACATATTATAAATACATTTAAACCTCTGAGGAATATCCACAAGATAAATGTAAACATCGCTGAAATTGTGTACTGCAGCTGCCAGATCCACACATCTGCAGATCCATCTTCAGTCTCACCTCATGGAAGTTTCCTTGAGCTCGAGCCGCTTCAATCTTCACCAGAGCCTGAAGACTGAAGTCAGTGAGCTGCTTGACCACTTCAGCAGACGGCTGCAGAAAAACACAGTCAAGGAGAAGATGATTTAAAGGGGATCTATTATGCACAAATCACATTTATAGGGGGTTTAATCCCAGTTGTGTGTCTGTCAGCAGTGTGTGAATATCTCCAGCCTCTAATGGTGAACATGTATTAAGTGTATTTGTTCTAATTAGACTTGCTAGAAACACCCCCAGATCACTACACCGGCCAGCATGAGTGTAACACTATTCTCTGCCACAGTGAGGCGCTGCTGAGTACATCCACACACTCCACACACTGATCACAGATACACACTCAGCTGATCTAGAGTCATTAGAGCCTACAGAATGGATTATGGACCTGTTTTCCATCCTCGGTGGGTTTGACGGCGGTCATCAGCTCATCTTTGGTGCCGTTCACACAGTGTTCACACTTGCAGTCGAAGTAATACTGCTGTTGGAGGAGCCGCTGGCGGTCTGTGGAGACGCTCAGAAAGTCCACATAACTGACGGTCAGCTCCTGTCCAGCAGAGATCGGCTCCAGAGCCCGCAGCTCAATCCTGCACACACACACACACACACACACACACACACACACACACACACACACACACACACAAAAATACACTTTAGCTCATGCATAGATATGAACACATTTATAGTACAGTACACACACATAAGCGTATTTACAAACATACACATTTCAAACACACATACACACACATGCAGCAGACATTCCCAGTTATCCAGAAGAGGTTAGACTTTTCCACCATCATCGTCATCAACACTCATTCTTTCATAACAGAGGGTATTTTTGCTTCATGTAACTCCACTCTTAACATAAAGGCCAATGAATGTTTTGCAGCACATGATAAAATCTCATCAGATATCTCTCCTGATATGAACCCTGAAGCGAACATGTGACTGACGACAGCACACGGAGAGCTGAATTCCACACGAATGATGACTGAACAGAACAGAACGTCTTTTACTCCTCTTAAAGGAGCAGCTGACCGGCTGCATTGCCTGATCACAATGCACAATACTACCGAAAACTAGAATGCAAAATAAATCCATTTTCCTTTAGTTTAAAAATAAAAAATATACAAAAACAGTAAAACAATATTTGTTTTATAATAAAAATAATGCATGTTTAATTTTTGTGTCTTCCCACAAGCAAAAAAATTATAGTAATGTATATAACATAAAACATTTAATTTTATAAATGAGTCATTTGTTTATATGGCTATAGTTATTCTGTTACCATAGCAACTATAGAATCACTGCAACAAATCAATTACTATAGTCTTTGTGTTACCATAGCAACTGTAGAATCACCACAACAGATCAATTACTATAGTCGTTGTGTTACCATAGCAACTGTAGAATCACAACAACAGATTCCTCCAGGTTCGTTACTATAGGACGTTTCAAAGACATTACCGACTATGTTATTTACTATAACATACATACTATAACAGTTGTATGTCTTGGTGAGTGACATGAAACAACATGAAAGTAAACGAGGTACTAAATTGTAATTAACAAAAATAATAAAATGTTTTTTTTAATTCTTACCCTCACCCTGAAAAAAGTAAGTTATATGTGTTTACTGTACATTAATAGTGTAGATCTAATGCTGTCAGTACAGTGGAGGTCAAAGGTCACACGTGTGTTTGTTGCACTGACTCACCTTCTGCTGGAGTGGAATGAAGCATCCAGAGCTGACTGACTGCAAGAGAGAAACACATATACCATAAGTCATGTATTGCCTAATGTTTTATAAATGAGCAATATTGGATAAGTTTCTTCAAACATTCATTAAAACTGCATATAAATGACTTTTCTATTTACTATAATAAATAGAATAAAAAATAAATACACATTACATTACATTACTATGCGATGTCTGAAAAGTAATTCAATTACTTAAGATATAACAATTGCTTGGCTAAATACTACTTATATTCCTCATAAATTCATAAATAACTGTAAAATCACCACAATAGATTAGTTACTGTAGTTATTTTGTTACCA